ATTTATTTACTAATACATTTTTTAAAGTTTAAATTGGGTATATATTTATAGGATGTCTTTGGGATGTTATTAGATAGGTAAGACATTAAAGTATATTATGTGTTATTATTATTATCCTCCATTGGTAAGAGCTGTACCACAGACTAAGTTAATCTTATGCTTCTTTGCTGAAAGTTTCCAACTAATTAACAGTTTTCAGTAGCTAAAAAATTTATCTTATGGACAGTCACACAGAACATCAAGATGAAAAGTGAGCAAAATTTGCTAAATTCAAATGTTCTAAAAGAAAAGTTGGAGAAAATTTCTCTGTAACTGAAATAAAAAAGAAAAAAAATTAATTATAAGATTGCAATACAGATTCAGAAAAAGGAAACAATACCTAAACAAGAATATATAGGTATAGTGCCAATAGTAATTAAATTATTGACTTTATAGGAAATGTATAATCTCTTAGATTGAGACTACAGGTTTTGTCCTCTAGTGACAGTTTTTAGCTTAAAGAGATGCCTAATGTAGAAGAGCACTAATCAGGATGCAAGGACAAGATACTACAAGGTAGAAGGATAAGGACAAGATGCAAGGTTTTTGTTTTTTGTATTTTTCCTTTGGTTGGTTGTGGGGCTTGACCTCTGGGCCTGGTTGTTGTCCCACAGCTTTTCAGCTCAAGACTAGCACTCTACCACTTGAGCCATGCGCCACTTCTATGTTTCTGAGTGGTTTATTGGAGATAAGAGTCTTATGGTATTTCCTGCTGGGCTGGCTTTGAACCATGAACCTAAGATCTCAGCCTCCTGAGTAGCTAGGATTACAAACGTGAGCAACCAGTACCTGGCAAAATGCAAGATTTTTTTTTTTTTACTTTTTCTTTTTGTTTTGCTGGTCATGGGGCCTGAACTCTGGGCCTTGGGTGCTGTCCCTCAGCTCTTCAGCTGAAGGCAAGTGCTCTACCAATTGAGCCACAGCACCACATCCGGCTTTTTCTGCTTATGTTAGGCTGAGGAATCAAACCCAGGGCCTCATCCATGCAAGGCAAGTACTCTACCACTGAGCCATCTTCCCAGACCCAAGATGCAAGTTTTGATGAGAGACAAGTCTTACTATAGAATGGGGAAGTCCACAACCAGAAAGTAAAGAAAGTGCAAAAGGTGATCAGTGCAAAGAAAGAACAGAGAGAAGCTGCATATGTGCTTTCACTATGAAAAGCTCTAATAACTGCATGTCTAAACTGGACCAGCAAAATACTGATGTAATTTCCATACAAAAGTACAGAAAGAGAAAAGGTGTAAGCACAATGTCTTGGCATTAAAATCACAAGAGTTCAGAAACCTGATGGGAGGGAATTTCTAGGTAATGACGTTTTTGTAAAATAATGAAAACATAGAAAATGAGATAATCCATGAAAGGACTTCACCAAGCAAAATAAGAGGAACTCAGAATTATATGGACTGACAACAGGAGATGATAAGCACCGATTTCAGTCAAGACAGTAATGAAACTCAGAAGCAATTACTGAAGGTCTGTGCTTTGCCATAAAAAGGAAAACCCACTAGATCCAAAGAAACTAAATGATAGATTTGATTTTGTTTTAATTCAATTAGTTTTTAAATTTGGTGTAATAATATATTCTTGTGCATAGATAAAAAAATGGAAACAGGTCTTGAGCAAATTCTGGGCTCTCTCTTCCCACTGATGAAAGAAAATCGTAAGAAATTATGGATTATACTATATCTCAATGAGTATACTGACTTTGACAAAGTAAAAAAAAAACCATCGTATCTCCATTAGTACAGTTGTCCCTCTGTGGTTTGTTGTTAGTGTTCTTTGGAACATTTTCTTATCTTTAATTAGCTGTACAAAGGATTTTGGGTTTGTTTCTTCAAGATACAATTCCCATGACTGAGAATGAAGAATAGCAAGTTATATCCTAGCAAGTCATATCCTAGCAAGTCATATTCCTCATATAATTGTGGACTTTAAAGTGACTTCTTGGCACTTGAGAACAGAAGAGAAAATGACAAGACAATAGAAAGTGACTTCTTACATTCAGAGAGAAACTGTGTTCTGAAGGGACATAGAGAGCACATTGAAGATCCCAGGAAGGAAATGGTGTGATCAGGATTTGATAGTAGCTAATCTGGCTTCAGGTATTAAAGCATCAAGAACATTGGTAGGAGACTTTAGTTGGAAAACACATTTCAGTCAAGAAAAAAATCTAGGGAAGCAGTGACCTAAGGAGAGATGCTAGTACCAAAGAATAAGCTACTATGTTCAATGAAGACAGAAAAAGTTGTAGAAAGACTTCAAATAGAGCTCCCCTATGACCCAGCAATCCCACTTTTGGACATTTTCCCAAATATTTACAAACATGACCACACTAAAGCTACCAGCACGACTATGTTTATTGCAGCATTATTTACTATAGCTAAGATATGGAACCAACCCAGATGCCCCTCAGTAGATGAACAGATCAAGAAAATGTGGTATATATACACAATGGAATTCTATTCCTCCATCAGAAAGAATGACATTGCCCCATTTGTTAGGAAATGGAAAGACTTGGAAAAAATTATATTAAGTGAAGTAAGCCAAGCCCAAAGAAACATAGGTCCCATGGTTTCCCTTATTTGCAATATCTAGTATATGTATGAGTCAAGCAGAAAAGGTCAGATAAGGTGATGTTAGGAAAATGAACCCTTAGATATATATTTAAATTTTTTTCTTTCATGCGATTGTTTCTAACGCATTTATAAGATTATTTCTTTATTGCTTTGTATGTCCCTCCCCCACAGTATAACCCCTGCTTTCACTGTATTTGATGTCGGTATAATTTGTGGAGGGGAAGGGGAAAAACAAGTCGTTTAAATAAGGATACAGTGGACCCGTTGCAACAATGAGAAGTACAAGTTGTCATGTCGAAAATGAGCTTTACAACTTTGGGTGGAGGGGAGGATTGGGTAGGGGGTGCGGGGGGATGCTGGGAAGGGATGTGAAGGGTAAATAAAGGAGGCTACAATGCTTGATAAGAAATGTACTCATTATCTTGCCCATGTAATTGTAACCCCTCTGTATAGTATGTTCACAATAAAAAATAAAAATAAAAAGTTGGAGAAACTGGATGACATTGGCTCCACTAGGGTGAATGCATTATGATGAACAAATTTCTATCTGTTGAGGGTCGTTCTATGATCACTTGTATATTGAAAAACAGATTTCATTTAATACTTCACACTTAAATGAATACTATTTAATATGTATGAACAAATAAAATGTGTGAACCTATAACATTAAAAAGAGAACTATTATTGATATTATATTAACTTAGTATTTTAATATGATCATTTTGAAAATCTTAGTGTTACATTTTAATATTTAATTACAGTGAAATAAAATTAACTATACTATGTATCATATTTCATTATAAATATGAATGTTTTAAATTTAATTGTATATTATAAATTATATTCAATATTATTTACCAATTTATAGTAAGCTTTAACTCATATTAATATTTAATAAATTGTAATATATTTAATTATATATCACTTAATGATACTATAGCATATTTTATCATACCTAGCAGAAATAATATAAATTTAATCATTTAGTATATTCAATTATATATTATGAATTACATTAAATTATATTCATATTAATAAATTGTTTAATATATCAAATTATATGTTGGATGAATACTTTTCCTATGTAATATATCTAATACAATTTCCAATATATCGAATTATATTAATATGTGTAATTCTATTTAATGTAAGAGGAACATTTTACAAATTTTTGTATATATATATATTTTGATCATAAGACCTGATGTTGGCAACTGATTATAATCCCAGAGTTCTTTGGCTGAAGGCTAGCACTCCAGTACTTTGGGTCACAGCCCTACTTCTGGTTTTCTGGTGGTTAGTTAGAGATAAGAGTCTCACAGTCCTTTCTGCTGAGGGTGGCCTTGAACCATGATACTCACATCTCAGCCTCCTAAATAGCTAGGAGTACAGGTGCAAGCTACCATCACCCAGCCTAATATTAATGTTTTTATTTAATATTTGATTATATTTAATATACTTATATTATGTTGAATTATAGTTGTATTATTGATTATATAACAACTACTATCTAAAATCTACTAAAACTCAAACTATTTAGAAGGGGGTTAAGCCAAGCAGGAACATATTGCAAGTTGAGGAATTCAAGTCTCTGTCTCATCAGGTTCCACTTCAGGGTATTGCAATATGGAAACAGGAACAGGTGAGTGGAGAGACAGAGATAAGCAAGTAGGGTGGCTGAGGAGTGTGTGGAGCATCACAGGTTCCTAGCCTTGAAGGTGACTTTGGTCGCATGTAACTCCCGGTTTTAGGATTGGAGGCACTAAGCCCTTTCTGCAGCTCACAGCATAAAATTATTTCTGCAGGGACAGAATGTCCCTAAATATCCTCCCAGAACAAACTGCCTTGGATCACAATGGATTATCCATTAGCAGCTCTTGTTCTGATGGTAAACATCAAGTGTTAGGGAGTGTATTCTGGGTCTGTAGGGTGGAGATAGTTAGCTTTAGTCAGCTGGATATGCTGAAAAGTGTGGTACATGCTGACACAGACACGCGATACAAGCCTGCACCCCCACTCTGTACAGGATCCTTCCTGATGCCTTCTGGTTATGCATGAACATATTCTGGACACACTGTTGTTTGAGGATAATTATCTCTTTAACACCATCTTCCTATCTTGCCCACGCATGAAAATGGGGGAAAAATCAATAGGAACAAGTGTGTCCTGGAAGTGTAGTCCCATATATGTACCTGAGCCTGGGATCAATCTCCACCAGCAAAGAAAGACAAAAGGAACTTGTCATTGCTGAGAAGAAGGATTAAATGGCTAAAGAAAGAACAAACTAAGTATGAGCGATTTAGCAAATTGTCTAAGGAAGACTGAAACTTACAGGAAAACTCCTAAGGAGGATTAAAAAGAGACAGAAAGGAAATGCATTACATTCTCATTGGAGGTGTCTCCCTCTCCATTCTTGCTAGAGGAATCGCTGGAGGAATCGCTGAAGGAAGCTTCATCATGGTCCAGGGCACTGAGGTACAGAGACATCTGAGGTAATGAGGGATAGAGTGAATGTCTGGATGAGAAAGGATATTGACTCCTGTTTATTCTGGTATCATGAAGACCATCTCAGAACTTTATTATTCCTCATCTCTGTTCTCCTATCTCCAGGCTTCAGTTTTGTTATACTACACTAGGGATAATGTCTCTCATCTTATAGACTTTCTCCAGACCAGACACTGCCTCTATAGCAGAAATAGTATATTTTCCTTTGCTCAAAGCAGCAGCCACTTGATGATTTGCCTTCATGTTCTTGCCTTCCATCACTCACCATGCACACCTCCTTTTCATCTCATTCTGACAAATTTCCTTCCCCTTTAATCCTGACCCTTCCTACGTTTCACCTACACTGAATACTGCATGAATAAAGAAGGCTATGTTGTCACCTTTTCTAATTACTCAGTTTCTTAATGCCCCAAGATAACTGCCATTGACTTGGGTTTCTGTTATGTTCTGTTAGAGAGAATTTCTGTCCCCCACACATAGCATGAGTTTTTTAAGTATGAGATGAGGTTAGTGACTGGGTGACATGAGATCATCAGACTTCCATAGATGTCCTCAGGGTTTAACTTAGCCCCAGAAGATGGGATTTGGATGAAGGGTGGATGTAAAAAAAACGGAAAATGTGCTTCTCACCAATCCTTTCCAGAAGGACCGAAAAGTGACCAGGTGGCCTTAGGAGTATTCTCATATGTCTATGCACCTGTTCAGCAAGTGGCTTATAATCTGACAAGCATCTCCACAAATGAGTATTACTTGAATGAGGTAGATATATGTGTGATCCTGTCCACAAATCCTGGAGATTGGAACATTTGGAGATATATGTAGGGATTGAAACCAGCCTGAACATTGTGTTACTTACCATGGAAACTAGGGTCAGTGTACTATTGAATATGTATGTTTTTAATACTACTAAAGCTCACACTAAATCCATATAATTAAATAACTCCATGAAAACAGTTCACTCTGAGGAATTACTGATAATGCTAATTAATACCTATAGTATTTAACCAGGTACGTCATGGCTCTCATGCCTAGGAGGAGGTCACAGTCATAAACTCTATGTCACCAAAATTGCAAAACTGCTTAGAGGGAACAATTAGATGATCAGAGTTGTTTCTTTGATCACCAGTTCTGCTAAGCACAAAGTAATTTCTCTTTTCCATCAGCAAAAGTTGGATTGAGATTGAATTCTGTATAGAATCTGCCAAAAAAAAAAGCCCAACTTTTCTCAGCAACTTTAGTGTGTTCTAGTGAGTTATGTGGGAATACATACAGGCTTCATGTGGTGTGGAGTCTACCTGCAGTCAGAGAAGAGAAGACACAGTGAGAAACAAGTCATGTCCAGTCCTCCTCAAACAGGCCTATGGTTAATGATGATGACATTAGAAAACTAATAGGGAGGACTTGTATTCCTGGAATGAAAGTTTATAAAAGAATCCTTCTTTTTATGGCAAGTACAATTATTTATTCATTTAAATTATTAAAACTTCTGCTATGCAATTTTTCTCAGCTACAGTAGAAATGCAAAGCTGAATCACTTAAGAATTCTACATCCGTGGATATTTTTTAATTGTGAAAATACCATACAGAGGGGTTACAAATACATGGGCAAGATAATGAGTGCATTTGTTATCAAGCATTGTTGCCTCCTCCTTTGTTTCCCCTTCCCATCTTCTCCCCCCCTCAACCTGCCCAAGTTGTAAAGTACATTTTTCGACATAACGACTTGTACATCTCATTGTTGCAATGAGAAAAAAAGAATCCTTTTTGTGTACACAAGTGACTGAGTAGTAATTATGTAAACGTACAAGAGGATTTAGAAAAGGTTTGATAAACCCTATGCTCCTAATGTCCATTTTTATTACAAGGGAATAATAACATATTGATATTACTTTCATAAAAATATATAAAAGGAAAACACAAATCAGTCCAGATAAATGGCACTAAAATGTGAAAGTTCTGAGATTTGATGGAATGTATTTAATGGGTAATATATCATTCTCTAACATAAGAAATATTCATACAGATGAGGGAAAGCAGGATGGACATCATCAGAATGAAAAACAGAAGTAAATGAACAAAATCCAGGATATATTATGCAAACACTGAAAACAATACAGTAGTGAAACAAAGAGAAAAGTGAAGGCATGTGTCTTAGAAGATAAAAGGAAGGAAGGTGAATGGAGGTGTTTTCAAAGAAGCTAAACAGGAGATAGTAAAAGACAGGACAATTTTCAAAAGTTAAAGACAAGCATAAAAGATTGCATGGATATACAATTGAGATTCCAGAAAATGAATAAACCATTAACAAAGAGCAGAACAACAAGTGAATCATAAACCTGTAATTTCATTGGTCCTTCTGAAAGTAAAACAGTAATTTGCAGCTGATTCTTAAAGAAACAGTTCCCAAAACTGAATATGGGAATGAAAGCAAACCATATATTCTCCTGAATCATATCCTAGTAAAATTCTGGAGTTTAAAAAAATCCTTTACAATTTGGGGGTAGACTAGCAAATGACATACAAAGAATGAAAAGGAATTTCAAATAATACAAAAGAAACCTGTGTGCTGAAGGAGACATAGAGCACTAAAGATCCACAAGAGTACACATAGGGGTAATAAGTTAGGTACAGTCAATTTGTCCTGGTTTCTAAGCCCTCAATGACCTAGATCATTTTACTCCTATGATCCCTTCCAGGGGAATAAACAGAATTCTGTTGACAAAATACCTAAAGAGGTACAGATTAAACACACACACACACACACACACACGCAAATGGTAAGTGCTAAGTGGGCATGTGGGCAGTAACTGCATTCAATAGACACAACATGAGAGATAAGGGGGGAAATGGGTAATGAGGGGGTCACTAGGGTGATTGCTGGATAATCAATAAAGTACTCCCTCTTTCGAAAGTTTGTCCTACAACAGTTGTATATTAGAAAAGATAATTTACATAAAACAATCAGTAAAGAAATAGTTTATTATAAAATAAATTAATATTTATACCATAAAGAGGAGGAAAAGCAATTTTGGTGTCTGTGGTGGGTCTTGAACTCTGGGCATGGGCACTATCACTCAGTTCTTTAGCTAAAGGCTAACAGTGCAACTTCTACTTTTCTGGTGGTTAATCTGAGATGAGAATCTCACAGAGCCGGAACGGTGGCTTGCGCCTGTAATCCCAGCTACTCGGAAGGCTGAGTCCGGAGGATCGCTTGAGTCCAGGAGGTCTGGGCTGCAGTGCGCTATGCCGATCGGGTGTCCGCGCTAAATTCGGCATCAATATGGTGACCTCCCGGGAGAATCTCACAGAATTTATTGCCAGGGATGGCTTTGCACCACAATCCTCAGATCTCAGCCTCCTGAGTAGCTAGGATTACAGGGGTCAACCACAAGTGCCTGGCTATAACCATTTAATACAAACTACATTTAAACAATTTAAAAATAGAATGATTTATAATGGGTGTAGGAGTAGCAGGATGGCAGCTCTGAGTTCAAGAATTCATGTCTCTGTCTCCTCAGAATTCACTACAGAAATCAGCAATATACACCTAGCTGAGTTCCAAGTTGGGAGACAGACAGAGAAGGGACCATAGGGTAGCTCAAGTGTGTGGATACTCAGAAGTTCATAAGCCTTGGAAAATGAACTTGAGCACCAGTAATCCCTGATTTAGGCTTGGAAGCCTTATGGTTTGTCTGCTGAATCCTTAGTGCAGTTTTTGGACAGTGTTCCTAAGTCCTTGCTAGGAGGAAACACCCTTCCCTAGTCCATACTTGAGGCTTTAGCAGTTGTTCTAATGGTGAACTGGATTTGGAGGAAAGTGTGCTACTGACCTAGGAGCTACAGAGTGTGAGCTGGGTCTGCTAAGGAGAATGAGTACTGCTGACACAGAAAGGGGAAACAGCACTGCCTTTAACTATTCTAAAAATATCCCTTCTTAGACCTGCTAAGCAAAACATGAGTGATCCCTTGACTCACATTTTTCCTAAACACTTTTTTTTTATTTGCAATAACTAGTATATGTCTGAGTCAAGCAGAAAAGGTCAGATAAGTTGATGTTAGGTAAATGAACCCTACAATATGTATTCAAATGTTTTTTTTTCTTTCAGGTGATTGTTTTTAACACATTTATAAGATTATTTCTTTGTTGTTTTGTATGTCCCTCCTCCATGGTATAATCCCTGCTTTCATTGTATTTGAGGTTGGTATAATTTGTGGAGGAGAAGGGAAAAAACAAATAGGGATACAGGGGGATCCATTGCAACAATGAGATGTACAAGGCATTATGTGGAAAAAAGGACTTTACAACTTTGCTGGGGGGGAGGAAGATTGGGTAGGGGGTTGGGGGGAGGATGGGAAGGGATAGGAAGGGGAAACAAAGGAGGAAACTACAATGCTTGATAAGAAATGTACTCATTATCTTGCCCATGTAATTGTGACTCCTCTGTACAATATTTTCACAAAAAATCCACCACATAATCTGGCCATAACAGAAACTCAAGTCAAACAGGGGGACTGAGTGTGTAACTCAATGTAGACACTTGAGTGTACATGGGTTTGAGTTGCATCTCAAGAACGAAAGAAAGACAAAGGAAACCAAAGGCATATCTCAGAAGGATGGTGAAAATGGCTGGAGATATAATGAAGACACATACCTATGATTATTAAACAGTGAAAAACTGAGAAAATTCAATCATTAATGCAAATGAAAAAAGGAAAAGTCCAAAAAACGGGGAGCAATCTGATGAGACAACTCTAAAAGAGTAGTTGTTGAATAAGAAATAGGACATATAAGGGTCAGAGAAAGGACATGAATTACATTCTCATTGGTGGTGTCTGTCTCAGTATCCTCTGAATCATTGGAGGAGGATCCCTGATGCACCTCAGCAGTGACAGGGATGGTGTCATCTGAGCAAGGAAGAATAGAGTGAAAGTCCAAAGGATTAATTTGTCTCCTATTTTTCTGGAATAATGGAGAGTTTTGTCTTATCTCTGGTCTGCTGGCTTCAGTCAGGTTAGGTTGCAATGAAAATCCTCAGGTCCTTTTCTAGCCCAGACTCTACCCCTATAGTAGGAAGTGGTTTCTTATCCCATTTCTCACAGAGGGAGCCACTTTATGAATTTGCACTCATAATATTAACTTCTCTCACACACCCAACCAAAAGTTCTCTTTCCTATAATGTCTCCTATTTTCTTTTTCTTTCTTTCCTTCTTTGTCCTATTTTTCTTCTTCTTGTGAGTCCTGGGACTTGACTTGATACTACCTGGATGCTGTCTCTTAGCTTCTTTCCCCCCCTCAATCCTAGCAGTCATCCAATTGGACTGCAGATCCAGTCCTGTCTTTTGTGGTAGTTAATAGGACATAAAGGTCTCATGAACTTTCCTGCCCAGCTGAATTCAAGACATGATGATCAATATCTCAGCTTCCTTGAATAATTAGGATTATAGTTGTGAATCATCAGCATCTGGCTAGTTGGCCTTGTTTCCTTTTCTTTTTATTCATGACTAGGATTTCACTTCTTGATCTGATGCTTTGGCTCTTTGGCTGATATTCCCCCAACTGTTCCATACCTCTAAACCCTCTTTCCTTTCTCCTTGCAACCCCGGCAACACTGTATGATTCTCATAAATGGAACACTGTATGAAAGTTGAGGAATATAATGTCTCCATTGTGAATGACTTGGTTTCTTAGAGCCCTGATGTAACTGGTATTAGCTTGGGTTTCTGTTATGCCTTGTTGGATAGAATTATAGCCAACCCACCTGTAGACTGATTGTTCTGGGTATAAGATGAAGTTAGAGATTGTATAGACTTTTGATTTTCACATATCCATAATTGCCCTCAGGGTTACTCATAGTTCCAGAATTTGGCATTTGCATGAAAAGTGAAAATAAGAACTGCAGAGCACACTTGTGGCTACTCTTCTCCTGAACACAATGGAAGTGTGCAAGAAGCCCACTGGAATATTCTTTATCTCATTCCTGGGCAATGGCTTTTAATCTGGACTGGACAGAGAGGCAGAATGGAAAGGGATGCTGTAGGGCCTGAAAAGTCAGTGAACCAGAATCAACTTCTAATCTACCGCCTGATGAAATAAGGACAACTTTCTCTCCACATTCAACTAGTACCTGAGAGCCAGGCCTGTGCCAATAGATACCTTCTATTATGAATCAACATCCCAAGACAAAGCAAGCTATGAACTCCAACGCTGTGTTCTTTTCCAGACAAAGTATCAGGAAAAGGAATGCTCAAGGAGAATGGCATTTTTAATAGCAAAAAAAATGACACTGTAAAGTTCCATGCCTTATTCCTATGCCACTAATTTAGAAGTTTGTACATATTTCTTGTTCTTGGTATTCTCTACTCCGTTCTTTGTTTCTCAAGAGCTGAAGCATGACTTATACCTCCCAGGAATCTTTGCCATTTAGTTTCAATTCCAATGCTGCTGTCCTACCAGCAGCATTGTCTTCTTCACTATTTGAATCATATCAACTTGTATTCCAGGCAGAAAACATTGCAAAGAACGTTATTGAAGATGATACCGCATCCTTTTACTCTTTATTAGATTATATTAAATTAAGTACTTTATATTATTTGGATGTGATTTGCCCCCAAATTCAAATTATGGAGGCATGGTGCTGAGTGTTGAAATGTTGAGAAATGAGGTAGGTTTTCACAAAGAAAATTAAATCCATTGGGATACCACCCTAAGAAATGATTCATGTAATTTTCTTAGACCTTGATTCATTCTCTGGAGGCCATAAAAGAGACAAAACATTGCTAACCATCTCACCATGCACAATAGCCACTTGTGTGCGACTTAGTCCATTCTCATGGTCATTTGCCCTATTGCCTTCATCCACCTGTAATGATAAAAAAGAGTTACTATGAAAATGAGGCTGTTCTGGTCCTGCTCACTGGTCAGGTGCTGTGCTTGGCTCAAGTCCATTTTGTCCTTTTTAGATAATTGTAATTTTTAGGGGTTAAGAAATGCTTCCATGAATACAGTTTACTTTAATAAATCTTGTAATATCTGAAAGCAGATTCTCCCCCATTACAGGTTTTTTTTTTCACTCCAAGAAAGCTATTTACCATCTGAGTCATAATTCTACTTTGGAAGGCTATTTTTAATGTTGTCCACAATTAGATCTCAGTGGGAAAATATCTATCCCTACATATTCCCTTAAGGAAAATTGATGTCAGTTATCAGACACATGTTTACATGATCATAATGTAATATAGTTGATAAGGAAAAGAAAGTAATAGTTGAATTTCACACAAAGACAAGTACACTCACTTCAGCTTTTGGATATTCCTCATTTGTCATGACTTGCGGAACAGAATTCTTCACAAGCTCAGAAACAACTAGGAAGATGCAGATTGATGGTCAGTAAAACAGCAATGTTGGTTGGGATTACTTAGGGTTATTAGTGGTAGGGACATGAGACAAGAATATAAGGAAAGGAGAGAATTAGAAAAGAATTGAGAAACATCAGAAGTATTATCTTTTCAGATAAATGAAGCCTATTTGATGTGGTAATGTTTAAAAGGGGTGAGAATACTAAGGTATATGCTGTGCTTTATTGAGTACATCTGAGCCATCTTAATTCTTTTCAGAATTGGAACTGGTTCTCCATTGTGTTGTTGATCCCTTCCAAGATCTTTTTTTCTTCCAAGAAGAATATAACCTCCTACATTTACTCTCACACACATTCTCTCATTACAGGATTACAAATAATCATTGCTCTCATACTGAATTTAATTTCAGGCTAGCTATTCTCTTGTAGTGTCCCAATCATTTTGCAATGATATCTTGTTAGTACAGATGATGTGCCAACAGTGAAATGCTACCATTTATAGATATTCACCAAGTGATTTGGTTTTTTTGTGATGAATTTGTACACACAATGTATTAGTGTCAATAGAACTATACCCTTCAAGAATGGACATTTGTCCTGGAGTTTGGCAAGAAGGAATAGATGCCATTGAGCTGAACAGGGATGGGTCCAAGGACTGTAGTCTAGTGATGTTTTGTATTACTTGTGAACCTATTTAGTATCCATGTGCTATTGAATTTGAGTGTTTGCAAGGCTTTTGAAAATCACATTTGAAACAATAAAATCATTCCATGACAAGTAATGCATAGGAGTAAGTGCTGAAAAGTCCACCATCACTGCATTGTTCTATTCCATGTCTCATTGCACTCACATCTAGGAGATATCCTGATCCTTGTTATAAATGTGATGTTAGTAACAAGAAATGTCTTCTCTTACTTATACTATGGGAGATGTGACCACTGCAACCACCTCAAATAACAGACAGCACTCTGTAAGCAATAGCACCCCCTGACATTTTTACTAGGTATTCCATGTCAAAATAACTAATGCAAGATCGTAGCTCAGAGGATCAACACTCAGCCCTTTCCTGACTTCAACATATCCCTATTTTCAATATCAAATGGTTGATGATGTTTCTCTGCATCATGACCATATTAGGACTGTGGATGCTATTTAACCATAAGTTTTACCTTGCAGTGGAGGAGTGTATGAATTATGTGTAGTGTGCAGTGTGCTCTGATAATGGCTCGTTTTCCAAAGTTTATATTGGTAGTGCTGTATGTAGGTTCGAAAATGTTTTGTTGGCTTAGAAAGACAGTATCCTAGTTTCATAGGAAATAATTCCACACAGACACACTTGTAGACACTTCCTGACCACCATTCATACAACCATACTCCATACCACATTGACATAGCTGCTTCCAGGGACAAAATGAGATGCTCAGAATTCTTCCTTGTATATCTGCAACTGTTCAGCACATTTCATCTCTCTTTTCCACCAGGAAACTGGAATCAAGACCGGCTTCTGAACAAACACATGCAAGAAAGTCCAATCTTTCTTGACACTTAAACATTTCCTAATCCTAGGAGTGAGTTGAGAATACATACAGGTTTCCAGAGCAATGGCATCCACCTGCAGATAGGGAAGAACAGATAATAACCAGGTCTTTTCCAGTCCTATCTACAAAAGTCTATTGTACACCACAGTGATAGAAGAACACTGAAGGGAGGGTCCACAATTTCTGTGTTCACCAGAAAAAAAAAGTTTCCTAAGATACAGAAATAAGAATATATGGGCTGAAAATAGCTTAGGCAAAGAACCAGAGAATTTAATAAAGACTTGAGGATCATCAGAAGGTACAGTTTACTTCTAAAAGGAAATGGAAAATATTGATGTCATTTCCATTCAAAGATACTATAGGAAAAATGACAAATCAGTACAGGATCATACCGCTAAGACATGAAAATTCTCAGTTTTGAGGGAATCTCTATACTATAATGGTATTCATTAGAGAGGCTCAAAGATTCACAAAACAAGCAACAGGAAACAAGAAATACTTTAAATGAGTAGGGAAGAATCAAGGAGAAAGAGATAGCATGAAGAGAACAAAGAAGGGTAAATGTATATAAGGTGTAAACTACAAAATTAAGAAAAGTGGGCAAGGAGGGTTTGGGAAGGAGGGTTGAAAAGGTTCAATGGGACAGCAGGTATATTGACCAAGGTACATTGCATTTATAAACTAATTTGTTTAATGGCAAGTCCTTTGTACAACTACTCAAATATAATAAAATAAATAAATAAGGAAACTATATAGAAAAACAATTAAAACATGCAAGATAAAGTTAATCATAATAACAGCCACCAGAATTAAAGAGACAGACCTCTGAAAAGACAAAGCAAACACTGAAATGAGTTCAACAGTGAAAGTAAGATAAGGTCAGAGGAGGGATAAGACTTGCAAAAAAGAGAAGAGATCAGTATTTCCAAAGAAGCTAAACAGGAAAGTTGAAACTTTCAGATAAAACTCAAAATTTGAAGATACCCATAGGCTAGATGCTTAAACCCTTGAGTTGTGAGAAAGTATAAGATAGCCAAGCAAAGGGGACAAGCAAAGAATACTAACTGTAATAACATAGTTCCTACTGGAAACAAAATAGTGGTTTGAAATCATTCCTTTAAGAGACAGTTCCCATCACTTGGAATGATAAATACCTAGTGATATTCTAGTAAGTCAAATGCTAGCAAGTAATTTTCTAGTAAAATCTGAGGTTTAAAGTGAATCTTTCAAAATTCTGAAGTGTAATGGTATACAAAATGTGAATGAAAAGAATACAAGAATGAAACCCTGTGTGCTGTAGAAACATAGAACAAAACACTGAAGTCCCACAAGAGGACACATGGCGGAAGTGGTTTTCATATGAGCAGTTCTAGCAATTGTTGTAAAAGCTTTGCTTCTGAAACCATCCAAGACTCAAGTAATGTTACTTCCATGATCACTGCTAGTGAACACACTCCTGCCAACAAAAGATTTAAAGCAACACAGACCTATGGACAGATGGCAAGTCCTAAGTGTGCAGTTACTGTGTTCAGGAAGTAACAGGAGTGATTTGGGACACACTGAGTGTCAGTGGGATCACCCAGTTCTACACCTCTTTAGGGGTTTATCAGTCGTATATTGTAGGATAACATTTAGTAAGAGTTAGCTCAGGGACATTAAACAAGCTCTGAGTTACAGCCCCACAACCAACAAAAGCTAGAGATATATTTACAACAATGAAAAAATATTTTAAAAGCAAAGTAAATGTAGACAATTTTAACTGGAACTATTTACAAGGCCATAGGACCAAGAAGAATGCAGCTCTAAGTTCAAGTATTCAGTACACTGTCTTCACATGATTTCAGTGAAGGCCTTCATACTGACTCAAGAGCAAGGTGAGTGGGGAGACACAAAGAGAAAAGAGGGGGCTGGCTAAGTGGAGTATAGAGATTCAGAAGTTCCTTAGAGTTGGAAGATAATCTTGAGCCAAGATAATCTAAATTTGGGATTCTCGGCACCAAGCCCTGGCTATTGCTCACTCCAGAAATGCTTTCTGTGCAGGATCCTTTCGCTACATGATCCCTAAGCAGCCATTAGAAGGTACTGCTGTGATGGTGAACATAAGTTGGAGGAAATTGAGCTCTTAGCCTATGGGATATGGGGTTAAGTCGCAGTCAGCTGAGCCTGTTGAGGAAAATGACAGCTGAGAACTCAAAAAGGAGACTTGACACCGCTCTACTTCCCCTGCTCTATATCTGATTCAGTCTGTGATTTGCTTAAACATGAACACCTTTTTTGAGAGGTATTATTTATTTTATTTCATTTTTCGGTCATAGGGCATGAACTCTGTGCTTGGGCACTGTTCATGACCTCTTCAGTGCAAGGCTACCACTCTACCACTTGAGCCACAGCATAACTTCCAGTCTCACAGACTGTCGTGCACTGGCCATCTTTGAACCGTGATCCTCAGATCTCAGTCTGCAGAGTATCTAGGGTTACTGGCATGAATCACAAGTGCCAGGTACAGGTTTTATTTTTTGCCTCACCAAGAAATCTGGTCTTTGCCTTGCAACTTAGGTGAATTAATGAGATCTTGTGTATATTTTGTGGTAGAATCGTGTATGTACAAAGGCTTTTGCTGCATCTCCACTACCAAGGAAAGGTAAAAGAAAACATAATCCAGACTGGAAAATAGAGTGTAATTGCCTGAAAATACATGTACCAAATTAAAAATACACATAAACACTCAAGTGTCTGTGCAAATTGTTAGCTACAGAAAAACAAATGAATGTGGAGAAACCAATGGAAGAAAGCTACAAAGAAGCAGGTGATAGATAAGGAAGAGGATATAAACAGCAAGGGGATACAAATAGCAAATTTTATTATATTCGCACTGGCCATGGCTATCTCCACATCTTCAGTATCACAGGGTGAAAATTCTGCATGCACCTGGGCAATGACAGTGATGATGTGATCTGGAGAAAGAAGGATAGAATGAATGTCCTGGAGAATACCTGGGCTTCTGTTTCTCCTGGGGTCACAGGGAAGAAACATAGAACTCAGTGTTGCCTTAAACAGTGCCCCTGTCTCCAGGCTTCAGTTGGGTTATGCTGAAGTGAAAAAAATATCCAGATCTTCAGATTCTTTTCTAGCTCAGATTCTGCCACTGTATGAGCAACTGGTGCCAGTGACAGGATGCTCAAAGAGGCAATGAATTTCTGCTCATGAGACTGACAATTACCTGTCTCCATATAACCCATACCATCATTGGTTTCTCATACAGAAACCTGGGATGAAAGATGAAGAATATAATATCACTTGTCGTATTTACAACATTTCCTAGGGCCCCAGATGCCTGGAAGTGTATTGGATTCCTGTTGTGACATGCAGAGGGGAATTTCAGTCGATCTATATATAGGCTGATTTGTTTAGGTGTGGAATGAGGATAACGACTAAAGTGGCATTAACTCTTCTCAATCCCAGAACTGAGCTCAGGGGTTACACCTAGTCATCTGAATGTGGGAATTGGATGAAGAGTTGAGGTAACAAATGCAAAGCACTGCGAACCACTCCACTCTAGAGATGAACCCAGAATGTGCAGGAAGCCCATAGGCATATTCTAAATTTCATTCCATCTGCACAAAATGAGCATGCAGAAAATGTTATGAGGATTCACATTACAGGAAATGAGCCCGTTCCTGACAGAGGTGAGGAGAACTCTCTCTCCATCTTGTCCTATTATCAGAAAGCCAGGCTTATTCCATTAGGTTCCTTTAGATTCCTTCTATCCTTGGTCAGCATCCCAAGATTTGAACTCTAAGTGATGGAATTCGAAAGCAGAATCAGTAGGGGTAAGACTTGTGGAGAATATTGTTTGTAAGTGGTAAAGAGGCTACATGTCCAACATCAGCTTTGACACTACACTGTTATTGCTGAGTTACTAAGGGATGAAGAAAGCACATATTCCTTGGGCTTTGTACTGGCTACATCTTGCTTTGGTCTCCAAATCCAAAGCATAACCTCTACTATCCAGGATGCTTTAATATTGGGTATCAAGTCAATAGGTTTCCTACCTGCAAGGTCTTCCTCTTCTTCACTAGTGAAATCATATTGTCTCATATTCTAGGCTTTGGAGACACAAGTGCCAAAAACGTTATGAGGAAGAGTACCTCCTTATACATCAGACTAGATTGTGTTATATGCTCTGTGGTGTGGAGATGGAGTTTGGCCCAAGTTTTCATATTCTGGAGGCCTGCTTCAGAGTGTGACAATTATGAGAGATGGTGAAACCTTACAAAGGCAGGGCCTCACAAAGATAAAATTTCATTTTATACACCAGACTAAGAATGACTGCAGTAGTTACTCAGGCCCTACACTGTCCCATGAAGTTTTATGTATTCTACGTGAAAATCAAGCCTCAGATTCCTGGGCTTTTCTTCCATATCATGTAACCTCTCCTTGATATCTACAAATAAATTCTGTAAATGAATCTGTGATCAGACTGGTTGTACACAAGAAGACACAAGACACTTTGACCCTTCTCACCATGCAGATCAATCACATGCGTGGAATTCAGTCCATTCTCACTATTTCCACGTCTCCATGCATCTCCCTATAAGGTGAGAAAATGAATTAGTGTGGGAATGACACTATCCTGTGTCCTGTGCACAGGATGCTCATTTGGCAACATTAGAGACCACATGACAAATTAATCAAGAGAATCTAAAGTTTAACAGAAAAAGTACTGTTACCAATTAACACACGAATTACATACTCTTGCACAAGTGAAGGCAGTATTTTCTACAAATGTTGAATTTTTATTATGGAACACAAAATGATATCCTGGACAAGGTTCCTTGTTGTATGTTTTGTAATCTAAACACAGCAGTTTTTTATTGTGGTCCATAGTCAGATCTCATTTGGCAAATAACTCTCATTTCATATGTTATGAATACCATGCATGTTGATGTGATCATATTTTAATTCACTGGGAAATTTAGGAAATAAATAAGCAATGCTCTATTTCACACAAAGACAGGCACTCTTACTTCTGCTTTGGTTGGGTCCTCTTCATTTGTCCTTCATTGAGGAAGGGAATCAATCTAGGTCCCGGAGGCACCTGGGAAAACACAAATTGACTGTCAGTAAAATAACGGTGCTGCGTGGGATCACTCAAGCTCAGGAGTTGGTGTGGACATGGGTCCAGAGTATAGAGGAAAGGAGAAGGGCAGGGCCTGAGAAGATTCATATTCCTGCTAAAATAAACCTCATGTGTTTGCAACACTTAAACCCTTTATATTTCCAATGAGCATGCTCAGCTTCAATGACCAAGTACAAGGCTTCCCCTTCTCTTTCAGAAATGGAACCAGATTTCTACTATCATGTTGAGCAACGTCAAGATCTTTTCCTTCCACCAATGTTCCTGTATCCTCTCTTATGTCTCCCTCTACTTGACTAAAAGCAACCACTTTTAAAGGAGTGGACCTTAAGGCTGAATATTGACTTCTAATTCTGAATCTCCTTTTATAATGTTTTAAAAATTTTTTGTGGTAATGATGATGTACAGAGGCTTAAAGTTACATAAGTAATGTAATGAGTACATTGTCACTGCACCTAGTGTCAGTGTATGAATGTATTTCACAGTGTAAAGCTTATAAAGATCATGATAAATAAAATAAATTAACAGTGTGATCACTAAACATGATGAGAAAGAGCTAATGAACGCCATGGGCTCTAGGCCATGTTTGCCTACACTGATCTACATGTACCGCATCACTCCCATATCTAGGAGGGTGATCCAAATTATATGTTTTTTGAATTTCACATTAATGAGAAGAAACTCTGCCAATAAGTGTCATCAATGTTATGAAACTACTATTCCAACTCAATTTCAGAAAGCACTTTGTAAGCTTTAACACTAACAGGCATGTATCTAGCATTAGGTGTTCGCTAACATAGTGACCAAGAACACCATGAGTAAAGGATGAATTTAAAGCTGTAGACCAGATGAGCAACAATGTGCCCTTGCCTGGCTTCAAATGTGCTTCATCCATTTACAGAATGAAGCTCTCTGATCATTTTCACCTGTCAAGAAAGGAATGTGGTTCCAACTCTGATCTTTAGATATGATAAGGAAAGCATAACTTATCTACATATGTATGTTGTTAATGGGCTAATTTTCAAAACTTTCTACAAATTTTGTGATATGCAGTTTTGTATAATGATGTGAGGAAAGGAGAAAAACTTTCCCAATTACAGTAACACTCAGTCCACATACACACACTCACAGACACCTCCCATCCATTTGGCTGACAACTGCACACCACCAAGACGACAGAGCTGCTTCCAATGGAAAAATGTGATTGGCAAACATGTTCGTGGTATCACCATTGCTGCTGAGCACACCCTCATTCCTCTTTTCTCCACAAAGTCAGAATCATGTGGGGTTTTCAACAAAAATAGTCAAGGAAGTCCAACCTTTCCCAACACTTCATTGTTTTTTCTAAGCCTGTAAGTGAGTTGAGAATACATACGATTTTTGTGGGTGGTGGAGTCCACCTGTAATAGGGAAGAGAAGATACTATGAGGAGCTGGTCATGTCCAATCCTGTATAAACAGACCAACTGTATTAGGAATGTAAATGGAATGAATAAGTGTTTCAGCATTCTGCTAGATAAAGGCTAACAAATGAATCATAATTATGAGGGTGAGGGACTGAATTTGGCTTAGGCAAAAGTACAATATAACATAAGGAAAAACCATTTCATTCCAAACATCTTCTGATGTGAATGAAATAGTACAGTGCTTTCCTAGGAAATATCAAGTCCTCAGTTTATTTCCAGATATTTCAAAAAGAGAAAGCATTATTAAAAACCCTAAATGAAAACAATAAAAATTATGATGTGAGAGTAGAACACGTATTTAACATTGGGTGTTATTTTCAGGAAGGGCAAATGTTTAGTGGGCAGCCTCTCTCAAGTGGATATCATGCACAACACTTTCAAAATCATTATGAGTGACAAAAGTGCTGCCTAATGGATGCTATCATATACCATCACCATCTGGGAACAATCATTGGAATCATGAAATTGATCTCTCCTGACTGTTTCCCACAATGGAAATTATATAAGACTTCCATATGAAACACAGGAATTAAGCCTCCTTTAATATACTCATTAAGTTTCTCATCTGAAATTCATTAAAAAACACAAAAATACAAAACAACAATTTTTCACACTTAAAGGAACAATTTTACCTCATCTACACATTGATCTTCCTCTTCTGAGTAATCACAGGGCACTACTTCCATGATGACCTTCTTAGAATCTAGGAAGAAACTGTGTGACTGTCAGTGCATTGGCTTTGTGGAAGAACAATTCAGAACTTCATTTGTATGGACAGGGCTTGTAAGGATGGAGGTGGATGACTCATTACTGCTAGTATATGCTCCTTAGTGGATACAAGAGAAAAGTGCAGTTGTGGAGATAGTGGGAAGGAATGGTAGGGGGAAAACAAAGGGGGAGGCAACAATGCTTGATAAGAAATGTACTTATTACCTTGCTCATGTAATTGTAACCCCTCTGTACAGTATTTTCACAATAAAAAACTAATTTTTAAAAAAGGAAAGGAGTAGAACAAGAATGATAAAAAAACAGTACTAAAATAAATAGAATGGCAAAGAAAAAGCTGAATCCACGATTGAAGTGGAATATTGAAACTCAGGTTTCTGAGTTCTTGCAAGGAGAACTGAACAACTATGTTATATGTCAAATACATTCTTTAAAATACATGATAACCTGGTGTTGTAATCCTGGCTACTCAGGAGGCTGAAATCTGAGAATTGTGCTTCAAAGCCAGCCTGGGCAGGAAAGTCCATGAGACTCGTATCTCCAATTAACCACCAGAAAACCGGAAGTGGTGCTGTGGCTCAAATAGGAGAGCTGTTGACTTCAGCTGAAGAGCTCAGGGATAGCAACAAGGCCCAGAATTCACGACAAAAAAATTAAAAAAAATAAAAATACAAAACATGAAAAACTGAAAACCTATTGGCAATTGAGATAAGTTAACTGTTGAAATTAATAAATACTGGATCAACTAGGCTTAACTAGTATTTATGCAGTTTTTCACTTAACATAAAACAATTAGACTACTGTTTCCCCTTCAGAAAGTAAGACACACTAATCAAGAAAGACCCACAGTGTTCTATAGAACATACTTTGACATATTTTAAAGGGAAAAGTCATACAAATGTTATACAAAGATGGGAAGCATAAAACTTTGAAGAAACTGAAGAAGACACCAACGTTGGAAATGCACCTCATGTCAAAAACTGGCTAAATTAATGCCATGAAAATGGTCATCTTACCAAAAGCAGATTCAATGCAATGTCCATCAAAGTGGTATTCTTCAGAGAAATAAAAGAGAATTTCTAAACTTGATACAGAAATAGAAAGGATATCTAAGATCAAATTGAACCTAAGCATAAAGAACCATGTTGCAGTTATGAAAATATTTTTTATTAGAAGCAGGGCTAAAGTGGTAGAACACCTGTCTGGTAAGAATGATACCCTGCGTTCAATCTACCATACCGGAAAATATACTGGATTTTAAGTTACACTGACGAGCTATTGTAAGAAAAGTAGCATTTTATCAGCATGAACACAGACAGAAAGATCCATGTAACAGAATAATATTCCCAGGAATTAAACCACATTGATACAACCATTACATTCTTTTTGAAAAAGAAGAAAAATGCAGCATGTCCATCAAATGGTTATATGGAAACTGTATATATGTAAATGACTGAAATGAGAATCCTTTTCTTTCACCTTAGACAAAAATGAATTCCAAATGGATTAATGATCTGAATTGAAGACCTCAAACATTGAAATGTCTACATTAAAATATAGAGAAAATTCTAAAGGATGATTTTCTGGATAAGATCCAAATTGGGATCTAGAAAATAAAAACAAGTATTGACAAGTAGTAACAACTTAAAAACTTCTGCAAATATGACAATAAATGAAAAAACAATAAAAGCCAATTATATGTATGTATATGTATTTATATGTACACACATACATACATACCTATATATATATATATATATATATATATATATAAATGAATATACATATATGAACTTCAACACTCTGGCCTCTACCAAGGATTTATCAAGTATACTTAGTTTAAACCTAAAGGTTTGAGGAAGTAAAGTAGAGGAAATTATGTTTATAGATTTCCCATAATGTGTCTGCAGTATTCATTGAGAAAGAGTTTAACTGGTATAATTTAAACATTACTGTTGTCACATAAACTTGCTTTATGCCATATTAGCATAGAAATAGGGTGCTTTTTTAAGCAGAAGAGTAGTTTGATCTTTCATGAGTTAATATATGTTGTAAATTTCAAAGACATGTGCTTTTGTAAAGAAAACACCCCTAAAAATAATCAAATGGTTTCACTGACCTGTAATTTACATGCCATGAATTTCAGTTTTCAATGGTATATTACGTAATTTTTTTAGAGAATTAAAAAAAAGTTATTGTGGAAAATACTGTACAGACGGGTTATAATTACATGGGCAAGGTAATGTGTATATTTCTTATCAAGCATTGTTGCCTCCTCCTTTGTTTCCCCTTCACATCCCTTCCCATCTCCCACCCCCAGCTTCCCCCTCTCCCCTCCCCCTGCCAAAGCTGTAAAATTTGTTTTTTGACATAACCAGTTGTACATCTCATTCTTGCAATGGGTCCAAGTTTATCCCTATTTAAACCATTTGTTTTTGTCCTTCCCCTCCACAAATTATACCAACACCAACAATGAAAGGAGGGATTATACCGTGGGGGAGGGGCATACAAAGCAACAAAGAAATCATCTTATAAATACATTAGAAACAATCACAAGAAAGAAAAAACATTTGAATAATTATCTTGGGGTTCATTTCACCTAACATAGATTTATCTGACCTTTTCTGCTTGTCTAAGACATATACTAGCTATTGCAAATAAGGGATACCATGGGATCTATGTTTCTTTGAGCCTGGCTTACTTCACTTAATATAATTTTTTCCAAGTCTTTCCATTTCCTACCAAATGTGGCAATGTCATTTTTTCTGATGGAGGAATAGAATTCCATTATGTATATATACCACATTATTTTGATCCATTCATTTTTAGAGAATTTTTATGGCTGTGTACCATTGCTGAAGTCTAAGTTCAGAGCATTTTAATCTTAAAAATATCCTATGCTTGTTTGGCTCAGTCCTTCTAGCTCTGAGTAGTTGGTAATCTTTTTTATGTTTTGTCTTTAGAGATTTACCATTTTTGGAAATTTACATAAATGGAATTATGCTTGTCTGTGTATCTGACATAATGTTTTATAGTTCATCTACTTTTTCTTTGTATATCAATATTTCTTTCCCTTTTGCTGCCAAATAGTGCTCCACATCTGTTTATCCATTCCTCAACTTTTGAGCATTTGGATTCTGCACACGTTTTGGATACTGTAGGAGACCTACCCTGAATACTCACAAACAAGTTTTCCATGAACTTTTATTTTTCTTTCTTTTGGGTAAATTATATACTTAACAAAATATGAGTCATAAGGCACATTTATCAAACATGTACACACTTCTTTAGTCTTCCTTAATCCCCTCTCCTTTCTTAAAACAATTTTCACAGGCTATCTTTTTTTGCCTCCTTTCTTCTCCTCCTTCTCTTCTTCTCTTCCTCTTCCTCCTTCTCCTTTTATCTTCTTCATCTAGTACTGTGACTTGAACTTAGGGTCTTCCACTCTTATTGAGCTTGTTTTGGTCAAGGCTGGTCTCTACCATTTATGCCATACACCTACAATTCTGGTTTTGTTCTGGCAATCTGGAGATAAAAGTCTCTTGGATTTATCTGCATAAACTGGCTTCAAACCTTCATCCACAGACCTCAACCTCCTGAGGTAGGATTACAGGTTTCAGCCACTGGAGCACAGCACTTTTAGGTATAGATTCTACAAATTAGTGGAAATATAAATTTGGCATTTCTGAACTTGGTTTATCTTACTTAATATGGTGATTTAGAGTTTTGTCCATTTTCTGGTACATGACATAGCTTTGTTTTCCTTCCTAATCGGGAAATAATTCACGATATGTTTCCTTTATCCATGCGTTGATTGTTTAGCCACTGTTGACTAATGTGAAAGATGCTCCAATAAACATGGCCATGCATGTTTAAAACAAAGCAAAACAAATTGTTTCTGCCAGTTAAGAAAAAAGGCCATCTTGAAAAATTCTTAATGTAGAAAATTTTATGGTGTAAGTAGACCTTCACTTAGGTGATTACATAAGTACTGACTTATTAATTTAAATCTGCACATGTTAAATATTGAAGAGCATAGCCTAACCCACACTTTTTTTTTGCAATCTAGACTAGGACTCTTTCTTCTAGAGTCAACATTAATGAATGGACACAGTGACAGAGTTTCCCCCATACCTTCACTTGGCTCTTGTTCAGGGTCTCCACTGTTGGGTGGCCAGAGACAATTCTTCTGCCATAATATTCTGGATTACTTGAGGATGATCTTGACCTTAAAGGTGGGGAATCCTCAGGGCAGCAACAACAACCTGTCAAATGTACTACAATAGATTCAGGACTTGACATCTTGTGGGCAAAATCTCAGAGGCAAGTAAGTACTGATGCATGTATATTAAAACATGGTTTTACCCATAAAATGGTGTAGATATGTTGTGTTACAATGTGACATTTGACTACATGTGTGCCTTGTATAACAATTGCATATCCAACACCTTAAACCTTTGTTACTTGTGCTGAGGATAATAGAGATGGTTCTGAATGATGCTATAAAGTGAAATTAACCAGGTGCAAAACCAATGGTATAATAACTCTGTCATATTTAGGAGCTCAAAATATACATATCATGGAAGTTGAGTCTAGAACTAAAACTACCAAAGAAGAAGACAGAAGAATATATTGTGGTGTTTGACTGCCCAAGTGGTGAAAATAGTTAACAAAGATGCAAAAATGTCTCAAAAGAAACAGAAGATTATGAAAGGTCCTTTAGTGCAAATGTTCATAGCAGTCTCTACCACTGGGGGTATTAACCATAGGCATGAAGAAGATTATCCAATGGGAAGTTCAGGAAAAGCCCCTGATCATCAAGCATCTACAGGAATCTGCTAGATCTGTGACAGTGTTTGAAAAGAGCTGGGTTCAAGGAAGTAGTTCATATCATGGTGTTTATGACATAAATCTCTTACCGTCTTCACCTCACCACAACTCAAAGCATAACAAGAGCAAG